ACAGGCAGCTGTGTTTGGATCCAGTTTTTACGGTAAAGGATGTATCCTGGTTTCATTGATCTGGCCTCATTGCTGTGATGTGTAGTTTACGTAGATTTAATAGGAGGCTACCGCGTAGTTTAACAAAGTGATCGATCTCCCAGCTAACGCTGTCTGCGTAGTATTTTGTAACGTAACGCCCCAAACAGCGCCCGTCTGTTAAACGCTATCGATTCCAACGGCAGCGTTTTATTAATATTTAGTTTCAAGCACTCGTCCTTAGTAAAAACAAAACTAGTGGAAATGGAAATGCTCCCAGGAGAAGCTGATCCATAGGTGCTGGGACAGCTCGCTCCCTCTCTGCAGCGGTGTGAGCCGCAGTCTGTGTGAACGCCGCTCCGCAGTTTAATGCAGGGCCGTAGCTGCGTTTTTAACGGGCCTAAAATGATATTTAAAATGATTCAATTTTAACTAATGTAATGCTTGTTTTGTTGCTTGAGAAGCTTGTGGAAATAGTGTAGGTTTGTTTTAGTACAGTTTTAGGGAAACAAAAATTAGGGGGGCAGCTGGGGGGGCAAGGCTCTACAGTGGGGGTGCAGCTGCCCCCCCTTGCCCCCCCGTAGATCCGCCCCTGCCAATGAGGGCACGAGATAAGTTTGTGCACAGATGGAAGGCTGATAGGCAGGTAGGCCATCCAGTTACTTTAGCCGGGCCGGCTCAGATGATTGGTCGTGCTTTTTACAGCGCCACGGCTTCCAGAGATTAATTTTTGTATGTATTTATTGTCAAAGCATTTAATATATTCATTGCTATCGGGACGTTAAGAGCATTCCATGGAATATAACAAAAAGTGATTTCTGAAATACATTACATACCCCATTGAATTATGACTGAAGATCGTCAGCTGTCTTCCTCTCCCGTGTTGTTCCTCGATACGTAAAGGCTGCAGCACCGTTGACAACTTCTCTCTACATATCACACATACCGGTAAACCAGCATCGTTTGCTGTGAAAGCAGATAACTCTGTCCACACAGAATTAAATCCTGTGTTCCTCCGGTACTTTTCTTTGATTTATCCATAGTTCGCTCATGGAGCCGGGGGTCAGGTTATTCCCCTCCAAGAAAAGGCGCTCGCGCGGGACCGTAGCAGGATGTGACGCATATTTTAGTTGACCTAATTAAAACCGTTTTGTTTTTTATTTATGTGTCACAGTATCACCTCAAAATACAAGATACGAAACATTTTCAACCACGCAAGAAAATATAATAGTCCTACAAATACTTTTATTTTATTTCCTTCTTATTTTTGTCTAAGCTCAAGGGAGCCAGAGCAGAGGGCTTAAAGGGCCGCGGGTTGCCGACCCCTGAAGAATACAAAAAAATCTCGTAAAATTGTTCTGACAAGTTTAGGGTCTCCATTGCTTTACAATCATTACCTCTATATATTCAGACTCCTATTTGTAACCAGTGGAGTTGCCCCCTGCTGGCCATTAGAAATATTACAATTACAGGTTGTTTACATTTGATAAGATAAACTTTATTAATCCCAAGTCTGTTTTTTTGTTGTTGCGTCGAATCAACATGTGAACAAGGCATTGAAAATAGAATATACACATCAGTATTCAGAACATGTGTGTCGCTTTATGTTCGCCCACCTACTGTGTGTGTGTGTGTGTGTGTGTGTGTGTGTGTGTGTGTGTGTGTGTGTGTGTGTGTGTGTGTGTGTGGGTGTGTGTGTGTGTGTGTGTGTGTGTGTGTGTGTGTATATGTGTGTGTACATGTGTGTGTGTGTATGTGTATATATGTGTGGTGTGTGTGTATATATGTGTGTGTGTGTATATATGTGTGTGTTGTGTGTGTGTGTGTGTGTACGTGTATATATGTGTGTGTACTGGTTTCTAGCAGAAAGCATGAGGAAGTAATGTGTTCCTAATGAGCTCTTAAAGAACGTAAGCTAACTCTCTCTCTTCACACTCGATTGTTTACATGGTAAAAGTTATTTATTGCTTCAGTTACTTCGCCTGAGCTAAAGGAGTAAAACACAATATGGAAACACTCCATTACAATTAAACACACTGCCTCACTAAGTAGTGCAAACAATCAAATGTACCCAGTATTGTTCATTGCGTGTATGTGGACATATATTCTCTCTGCCTCTACTTTTTGTACTAAATGTAGGCCTATACATCTAATGTATTAATAAGGATGTATTTATTTAAATCCATATCAAGAATGCAATCAATCTTCTTTAATTATCTTGTTCACCAACAGATCGATGAGTCTAGCTTGATTTGGCGGGATGATGTTTTGACGGCTTTATTTCCATAAATTTGACATTTTCTGACCGGATGAAGGATACGTAGATGAATGATTGCTCCTTGAGAAGTCCCCTAATTATACAAGACCTTTTAAATACCAATTACTTACAAATTGCATCGCCTCTGAGTCCCAGAGAAGTCCACACTCAGGAGATAAATGGGTTTTTAAATCTGGCGAGATAGCCAGAAGGACTTGGGAGTAGCTCAGAGTAATATGTATTTCCAAAGTAGAAGTAGTGCCATTTTATTCAATGTTTTGAAGTCAAGTGTTGAATTCTTATGATGTTAGAAACTCTGAGGTCTCATTTAAGGAGAATCCCGTGCAGATTTATATGATCGTTTAATTATGTGATCCCACGCAGTCACGAAAACTCTTTCACTGACGCAAGTGTTGCCCGTTTTCTACTCAAGCTTTCTGTTTCCCTCGAAAGATTTCATCTGCATAAAAAAGGCGTTTTTTGAGACATTTCTCGATGATTATTTAATGTTTGAGTACCAGTCTCTGCTTTAAAGAGTCCTCTCCTGCTGATGTTCAGTTGTATATCAGTATGTAGTGTCTCTACTTTAAAGAGTCCTCTCCTGCTGATGTTCAGGTGTATATCAGTATGTAGTGTCTCTACTTTAAAGAGTCCTCTCCTCCTGATGTTCAGGTGTATATCAGTATGTAGTGTCTCTACTTTAAAGAGTCCTCTCCTGCTGATGTTCAGGTGTATATCAGTATGTAGTGTCTCTACTTTAAAGAGTCCTCTCCTGCTGATGTTCAGGTGTATATCAGTATGTAGTGTCTCTACTTTAAAGAGTCCTCTCCTCCTGATGTTCAGGTGTATATCAGTATGTAGTGTCTCTACTTTAAAGAGTCCTCTCCTGCTGATGTTCAGGTGTATATCAGTATGTAGTGTCTCTACTTTAAAGAGTCCTCTCCTGCTGATGTTCAGGTGTATATCAGTATGTAGTGTCTCTACTTTAAAGAGTCCTCTCCTGATGATGTTCAGGTGTATATCAGTATGTAGTGTCTCTACTTTAAAGAGTCCTCTCCTGATGATGTTCAGGTGTATATCAGTATGTAGTGTCTCTACTTTAAAGAGTCCTCTCCTGCTGATGTTCAGGTGTATATCAGTATGCAGTGTCTCTACTTTAAAGAGTCCTCTCCTGCTGATGTTCAGGTGTATATCAGTATGTAGTGTCTCTACTTTAAAGAGTCCTCTCCTGATGATGTTCAGGTGTATATCAGTATGTAGTGTCTCTACTTTAAAGAGTCCTCTCCTGCTGATGTTCAGGTGTATATCAGTATGTAGTGTATGTACTTTAAAGAGTCCTCTCCTCCTGATGTTCAGGTGTATATCAGTATGTAGTGTCTCTACTTTAAAGAGTCCTCTCCTCCTGATGTTCAGGTGTATATCAGTATGTAGTGTCTCTACTTTAAAGAGTCCTCTCCTGATGATATTCAGGTGTATATCAGTATGTAGTGTCTCTACTTTAAAGAGTCCTCTCCTGCTGATGTTCAGGTGTATATCAGTATGTAGTGTCTCTACTTTAAAGAGTCCTCTCCTGCTGATGTTCAGGTGTATATCAGTATGTAGTGTCTCTACTTTAAAGAGTCCTCTCCTGCTGATGTTCAGGTGTATATCAGTATGTAGTGTCTCTACTTTAAAGAGTCCTCTCCTGCTGATGTTCAGGTGTATATCAGTATGTAGTGTCTCTACTTTAAAGAGTCCTCTCCTGTTGATGTTCAGGTGTATATCAGTATGTAGTGTCTCTACTTTAAAAAGTCCTCTCCTGCTGATGTTCAGGTGTATATCAGTATGGAGTGTCTCTACTTTAAAGAGTCCTCTCCTGCTGATGTTCAGGTGTATATCAGTATGTAGTGTCTCTACTTTAAAAAGTCCTCTCCTGCTGATGTTCAGGTGTATATCAGTATGTAGTGTCTCTACTTTAAAGAGTCCTCTCCTGCTGATGTTCAGGTGTATATCAGTATGTAGTGTCTCTACTTTAAAAAGTTCTCTCCTGCTGATGTTCAGGTGTATATCAGTATGTAGTGCCTCTACTTTAAAGAGTCCTCTCCTGCTGATGTTCAGGTGTATATCAGTATGTAGTGTCTCTACTTTAAAGAGTCCTCTCCTGCTGATGTTCAGGTGTATATCAGTATGTAGTGTCTCTACTTTAAAGAGTCCTCTCCTGCTGATGTTCAGGTGTATATCAGTATGTAGTGTCTCTACTTTAAAGAGTAACACAATCTGACCGGAGTGTTACATAGTGATGTCACTGTTTTCTGGAACTTTGTGATTTTAGCCTTTGCAGACCATTTACATGCACTAAAACCTATAGAACACACTACAGGAGAGAGAAAAAAACGGAGAGCCTCTTTTAATTTCTAAATCAGATTAAACAGATTAACTTCCATAAAAAGAAAGTGCCAGTTTCCACCAGACGGCACATTTAACCTCCCGCTCTCTGAAGAGGAGAATAAACCCTCAGCTACTTCCACTTGACTGATGTTTGCTGGCGGCGGCCATTACCCTCACACTTCCCTTCCTGTCTCACAGTCACTTTGCCGTGCTCCATTTCCAGCTGACGGATGTTTCGAGTGTCACCGCTGACCATCACTCCCCCGTCTCTAATATCCCTCCATCTGATAACTGAGGCAATAAAACCCAAATCCAATTCCAGAGACCATTACTGACATCCCTCTTCTTCTCTGTGTAGTTTGCTCTGGCAGATCCCATTGACGGTCGCCGTGGGAAACGCATCCAGCGTTTGTTCAGAGAGCCTCATCTGGATCAACAACAAGACAGGTACAGTATACTGCCAAGAGAAATGAGAACGACCACACCAACACTACACTGGAAAATATGCTGCTCCAAAAACAAGTTAGACAATAATGAAAACAAGCTGCTTCCACTTGAACTAAGTCCAAACATCTGCCAATAGAAGGGAAAGCTAGCTTCGTTAGATAAATCACATCTTGTAATTAGCAGGAGAACTCATTTTGAACTATGTTATACCAGAATAAGAAAATGTTGTATTACAAAATAAGCTGCATATACTCAAAAGTGTTCTATGTTCTGATGTTAGTTGGTGATTTTCTAATAAATACATAAAGAAATATGTTTTTCATTTGAGATACGACTCAAAATAAGATTATTTGACTTAACAAGATGAAGCATTGTCTAAAAACAAGACCTGATATCTCACTGCAGTGTCACTATTGAAGTTATTATGTCTTATATCAGGGTTAAAAACATATTATGACTCGATATTAGACACAGATACTTGGCAAGATTCAGAGTTTTTGTGTAAGTGCAAAATAAATATCATCATTAGAAAACACTCGCTGCAATATAACATGTGCAATGTTATTATTATTAACAATGTGCTATGATAACATGCAATTACCCATCTGACACTACGTTTTTTTTGCTCTACTAAATACTGGTAATATGAACATTAATTATGTGACCGTCTGTTTCCTGTTGATATTTAACTTCTCTTTTTACGGCACTGTTAGTGTAGGCCTACAGTTTTACTATTATGCTGCTGTGTTTATTGTATTTTTGTAAATCTGGCACAACAATTTCCTTCGGGATAAATAAAGTCCTATCTTATCTTAAGAACTGAAAAACCGTAATCAATGTAATTATCTTGAGATAAGAAGATGCTATGTTGGGATTATTTTGGTGTGTTTGACAAAGGATCAACTGTGATGTTTAAAATAAGATGGATGGACTTTTATTAATCCCTCGTGGGGAAATTGTTTCTCTGCATTTGACCCATCCTAGTGTTAGGAGCAGTGTGCTGCCATTTTGAACGGCGCCCGGGGAGCAGTGTAGGGAACGGTGCCTTGCTCAGGGACACCTCGGTCGCACTGGGTCTTTCCGGGACTTGAACTGGTGACCTTCCAGTTGCCAAGCCAAGTCCGACTTCGCCACCACCGCCCTATGGTGGTCATCCTAAAGCCCCGGACACACCAGGCACACTAGGCCGATTATCGGCGTCGGTGGGCGGCAGGCCGACGATGAGCGTCGACACGCCCTACTCAGATTGGTGTGTCCCGCACCGTTGTGTCTTTTCAGCCGAAAACCCACCGATTCCTCACGTTGAATCGGTGGGCAGTCGGCCAAAAGGCTGTCGGCAAAATAAATCACTCTGATTGGCTGTTCAGCTTAGCGCATCAGTGCATGAGAAGCGAAACGGAAGTGAGGGACCCAAACAAACTATTAAGAAGGCAAATCTGAGATTTCGTTGAACTCCAGCTCTCGTCTCGACACAGGTTCGGGAAAGCTTCGTGAGCTTCTCGCTGTAGAGTGAACATGGAACATGCTATTTGTTGTTTATATCACACAGTCTGTTCTTCTTCTCTCGGTTATCACGCAGTCTGTCTTCCGGTTGTTGCCTCTTTTGAATGACAAATACACACTACCGCCCCCTGCTGGTAAGGAGAGTTATTGCCACTCACGCATGCGCAGTTCGTACGTGCTACTTGGCCGTCGGCTGAATTCTTTGCGGTGTGTTCCAGTGCGACACATGGCCAAGACGCAGAGACGCGAGGCGACGCAACAGTCGGTCTGTGTGAGTTCTTTGGTGTCCGCTTGGTGTGTCCGGGCCTTTAGACTTTAAGGCAAGACAATGTGACAGAAAGTTACGATTTTATGTCAACAAAGAAGCTTAATTTCCTACTTTCTTTAAAAGAAATGGATGATTTGCAAGGCTTTCCTTTTGGCTCGATGTATTCAACAAGAAGTGAAGACTTATAAGAAAACATATAAGCAGAACATTTGCAATATCTTTCTCAGCTCAGCAGGAGGTTCATTTTGAAATAGAGACTTCTACGTGAGCAAACTCATTATCTTGAGAGGTGTAATCTGTAGTTAAGGGACTAGACAGTTCGAACTCAAAGGGAAATTCCCCAGAAAAAAGCTTTGCTCAGTGTTTTCTGCAGAAAGGAGAATAAAGCACATAAAGTTCTGTCTTTTGGGGGGAATATAACTCTTTTTGTATTCCTGTGGAGTGTGTAGGAGCAAACACAATAGTGGTGGCTTAAAGCCCACCTCTGCTCCGCGCCGTCCTTTAGATGAGCCTGGTCAGATTTAATAAAAGGAGTTCAAAACACCGGCATAAAAGTTATAACAATAATCTGATTTTAATACAGTAAAAAACACAATACGAAATACAGAGTGCCCTGAAACAGAACACTCCGGGCTCCCCGCTCTACTGTCGTGCGATACAGATATCGGGACCAGCCAGTCAGAAACAGGGGGCATTTTGCATGAAGAAACAACAGTATATATGGACATATTTGGAGGTGGACAGCCACTTCTTATCTTCCACCGGACCCAACTCCTTTAATTTCCCAGGGAAGGTTTCACACAAACTATTCTTTTAAAACAATCAAACATTGTACACAGATATATTGGTGCTTGGGATTATTCGCCCCAGAAAGAACCTTGGAAAAAGAACATGTGTGTGTGTTAGTGAGGGAAAGTGTGTGTGTGTGTGTGTGTGTGTGTTGTGTGTGTGTGTGTGTGTGTGTGTTGTGTGTGTGTGTGTGTGTGTGTGTGTTGTGTGTGTGTGTGTGTGTGTGTGTGGTGTGTGTGTGTGTGTGTGTGTGTGTAGTGTGTGTGTGTGTGTGTGTGTGTGTGTGTGTGTGTGTGTGTGTGTGTGTGTGTGCATGCTGATAAGCGGGGGCGTATGTGTGTGTGTTGCTGATATCTGGGTTAAGTAGTTTATGTGTGTGTGCTGCATGGAGACAGGAGGTGTATGTGTGTGTGTCAGGGTCTCTGGGTCATGGAGTGTAAGTAAGAAGGTTTATATATATAGGATTACTTTAAACAGTCCCAAATAATACATGTTCACTTCAATACAGTTCAAGATAATACCTGTTTACTTTAATACAGTTTAGAACAATATCTGGGTGCTTTAAATGTGAGACACATTCTGCTTCTGTTTTATGGAGAATAAACCCTCCTTGGATTTGGTATTTCGAACCAGACCTCGTTCTGCTTTTGTTTTTTGTGGATAAAGCAAAGTCTGGTTCTGTTTATTGGAGGGTAAAACACACTGTGGTTCTGTATTTGTGAAATAAAGCTCGTTCTGCTTCTGATTTAGGAGAATAAGGCCACTATTTAAGGAGATTAAAGCTTCTGTTATTAAGAAATTAAACCAGTTATAGGGTTAGGGTTATGGTTAGGCCTAACCCTAACTGGTTCTGTGTTAGCTCTTGAAAATACACCCTTTTCTCTTTGGTGAGTACAATTATCGTTCTGTTTCTGAGCAATAAAGCTAATTCTGTCTCTGATTTGACATTTAGAATAGAATGGGAGGGATGAACCCCTCTTTAAAGGTCTCACATGCAGAGCGCACACAGTGACCTCTGCTTTTAACCCATCCTAGTACCAGGAGTCTAGTACTAGGAGCAGTGGGCAGCTATTGTACAGCACCCGGGGAGCAGTGGGGGGGGGGGGAAGGGGGGTGTCCGTTGCCTTGCTCAAGGGCACCACGGCAGGGCAGGAGGTGAACTGGGACCTCTCCAAGTAGCAGTCCACACTCCATATTTAGGTCTGTTCGGGGACTTGAACCGGCGACCCTACGGCCCCTACTGACTGAGCCACTGCCGGACTATTGGAAGGTTTACAATAGTTTGTAATAACAATATATCACAGTATCCATTAGATGTAGGTTGTATTGCCTTTAACTCTTAAACCAACATTTGGGGAAAAAAAGTTTCTAAACACTGTCCACTTTCGAGAACAATGTCCAGGGCACTTTGATCCACTCGGGTAGATTTTGGACATTTTGTGATGAAGAGATTTCGTTTTTGAGATGTAAATACTATTTCACTTTTGTTCCCAGATCAGGGCTTTTGTTTTCAGGAACTAAGTGGACGTGTTAACTTTTAGTTTCTTTGCAAGACTTGGTCAACAACTCAACCTGTCTTCAAAACGTACAAAATGAGCGGTATAGATGAGAGTAACACCTACGTCACTTCCGGGCAAAAATTACGGCCCCGCCCACTTTTGGGGGAAAACAACGCTGTCATTTGAATGGCGGTCAATACAAATTCTGAAGTTTTTGCCAATCCGATCACATTTTTTTGAAAACCGTGGATTTTTGGATCTTCAAAGAGCTCGATTACGATGGCCAGTCAGGCAAACAATTATATTCGATCATTGGAAATCGACAATCCGTCTCGATATATGGTTAAATTCAAATCAGTAGGCGAGCCTGTAATTTCTCCAGCTGTTACTCTCATGAGCGAGGCGGAAAATAATAGTTTTAACATGCCAAAAAGCTGCTGTGTCGTTTATTGCACCTCAAACATTAAAAATAATCCAGAGTTACGTGTTTCTGAACTTCGTCTAAGAACAAAGGACAGTAACAGAAGAGCTCTGTGGCTTCAGGCTCGATCGCCGTTCAAATGACAGCGTTGTTTCCACCAAAAGTGGGCGGGGCTGTAAAGTGACGTAGATGTTACTCTCATCTATGAAAATCGATAGCCTACTGCTATATTTAACCATATATCGAGCCCGATCGTCGATTTCTAATGGCTTAATGCAATTGTTTGCCTGTTTGGCCATTGGAATCGGGCTCTTTGAAGATCCAAAAGTCTCCGGTTTTCTTACATTTCTGATCGGATTGGCAAAAACTTCAGAATTTGTATTGACCGCCGTTCAACTGACAGCGTTGTTTTCCCCCAAAAGTGGGCGGAGCCGTTATTTTTGCCCGGAAGTGACGCATTTGTTACTCTCATCTATTAGAACGAGTATTAATATCAGGACGATGGACGGTTTACTGACGTTCAGACGTTGTATTTAGCTAGTTGGTAGAAAAAAGACAAAAGAACAAGCAAAGGAAATAGACAGAGACAGTTAGAGAGTCAGAGACTAATGGAGCTAAAGCGAGATAACAAAACTGTATTTGCTGATTGTTTATTGCCAGTAATTCTCTAAACAACCATGAAACTCTGCAGATCATCTTCTGATGCTTTTTGAATTCTCTCTCCACCGTTCAGCCGTTCAAACGTCTAATTTATGCAAAAGATAAATAGTTTCAAAACACTTTTTTTTAGGATTGTCCAAATTGTTCAGAGCCAGACCAACAAATACTAACGTAAACGCTATAACGACGCAACCCAGTGAAAAGTCTACAGCAGTGTTTCTCAAACTTTTTCATACCAAGGACTTAACCAATAAAAAAACACTCGCGGACCACCTAACTCCACAAATATCCCAAAACACATCGTTTTTCTAGAACAGATTATAAATCGCCTGAAAATGGTACAAACAAGTGGCCACATGTGTGACGAAGGTGTTGCCCTGGGCTTTATCATACAATAGAAAGTGAAACTTAAGCTCGTTCCATTGGGGAGATATTCCCGCGAGAGTGCGTAAAACTTAAATGTATTTATTTATTTCAAATGTGAAATGTTACCAATATACTCACGGACCACTAGGGGGCGCTCACGGACCACCAGTGGTCCGCGGACCACACTTTGAGAAGCACTGGTCTACAGTATCGACTTGTTATCTCAACTTCTGGTAACAAAAGAATATACGAAACCTTTACCTCAAGGATCTCTATCCAACAGCGTGGTATCGTCTGCATGAAGTCGGTAACTTTGAACCTTAGCGTCTTCCTTTACCTTTGGTCAAACCACTGATGTTTAATTCCAACTGATCTAATGTTTGTATTGTTGTCTCAGAAACCCACAGGATTGGTCAGATGGACGACAGCACCTGGTTGCTGGGAAACATCAACCAGACCGGATACTTCCGCGTGAACTACGACCTGGCAAACTGGAAACTGCTGATTCAGCAATTACACAACAACCCTGAAGTATGTCTTTGTTTTACCGCAATAACTTCCACATTAGATCCCATTAAAATTTGATTTTAACTATAAGGGATATAGGGGATAATGAAGGTGTTGTATTTTCACCAGAGATGGCAAAAGTACACACATCCTTTACTCAAGTAGAAGTACAGATACTCGTGTTTAAACATACTCTGGTGAAAGTAGAAGTACTGACTAAACTTCTTTACTCAAGTCAAAGTAAAGAGGCTTTGAAATGTACTTCAGTAGAAAGTACCCATAACTAGCAGCTGTTTTAAAGAGTACCTGACCTCCCTTTATATTAATAGAACAATAATGTCATTGTTAGCTAATGAATGTTTCCATGCTGAACAACGGCAACATGACAACGTTTCCATTGGTCCCTCTTCTTTAGAGAAGACCAGGAAATGATGGATACACGGATCGTGTTCAAATCAATAGGCACGCAATGACTCTAAAGAATAATGATCACGCATCATTACATTACATTACATTGCATTTAGCTGACGCTTTTATCCAAAGCGACTTACAATAAGTACATTCGACCAGGAAGACACAACCTTGAAGAAAACAGAATCATATAAGTACATCAGGTTTCATAGAGCCAAACATTTCAAGTGCTACTCAACTGGCTTTAGGTAAGCCAGTCCTTTATTAGTATAAAAGTGCTTCGTTAATAGTTCTAACGCTCGAAGTGGAGTCGAAAGAGATGAGTTTTCAGTTTGCGCCGGAAGATGTGCAAGCTATCTGCCGTCCTGATGTCAATGGGGAGCTCATTCCACCATCTTGGAGCCAGGACAGCAAACCCACGTGTTTTCGCCGATGGGAACTTGGGTCCCCCTCGCAGCGAGGGCGCAACGAGTCGTTTGGCTGATGCAGAGCGTAGTGCACGCGCTGGGGTGTACGGTTTAACCATGTCCTGGATGTAGGAAGGGCCAGATCCATTCGCAGCATGGTAAGCAAGTACCAGTGTCTTGAAGTGGATTCTAGCAGTTACCGGAAGCCAGTGAAGGGAGCGGAGGAGCGGAGTGGTGTGGGAGAATTTAGGAAGGTTGAAGACCAGACGAGCCGCTGCATTCTGGATGAGCTGCAGAGGTCGGATGGCACATGCAGGTAGACCAGCCAGGAGGGAGTTGCAGTAGTCTAGGAGTGAGATGACGAGAGCCTGGACCAGAACCTGAGTCGCTTTCTGAGTCAGCTGGGGACGTATCTTCCTGATGTTGTAAAGCGTGTATCTGCAGCAACGGGTTGTAGCAGCGATGTTTGCAGTGAAGGACAGGTTGTTATCTAGGGTCACACCCAGATTCCTTGCAGTCTGAGTCGGGGAAACAACAGAGGTGCCGATGTTGATTGTTAGGTCAAGAGTGGGACAATCTTTTCCCGGGAGGAAGAGCAGCTCAGTCTTGTCAAGGTTGAGCTTGAGGTGGTGAGCAGACATCCACTGAGAGATGTCAGCTAGACAAGCAGAGATGCGTGCGACGACCTGGGTCTCTGAGCGGGGAAAGGACAGAATTAATTGGGTGTCGTCAGCGTAGCAGTGGTAAGAAAAACCATGCGGGCTAATGACTGATCCGAGCGAGTTTGTGTAGGGAGAAGAGGAGGGGACCAAGAACAGAGCCCTGAGGGACCCCCGTAGTTAATTGACAAGGGTCGGACTCAGACCCTCTCCAAGTCACCCTGTAGGTACGGTCTTTCAGGTATGAGGTGAGGAGGGAAAGTGCAGAGCCTGAAACTCCATGTTTTTGGAGAGTGCGAAGGAGGATCTGATGATTCACCGTGTCGAATGCAGCAGACAGGTCCAAAAGGATGATGACAGAGGAGAGGGATGCAGTTTTGGCAGTGTGCAGTTCCTCAGTGACCGCAATGAGAGCAGTTTCTGTGGAGTGACCTGCCTTGAAACCAGACTGGTGCGGATCCAGAAGGTTGTTCTGATGGAGATAACAGGAGAGTTGTCTAAAGACAGCGCGTTCAAGTGATTTAGACAGGAACGGGAGGAGAGAGACAGGCCTGTAGTTTATAACATCAGACGGGTTGAGAGTGGGTTTCTTTAGGAGAGGGTTTACTCTTGCCTCCTTGAGACTGTTTGGAAAGTGACCAGAAGTTAGAGAAGTGTTGATGAAATGGGTGAGAAACGGTAGAATATCAGGAGCGATAGTCTGAAGGAGGTTTGAAGGGATAGGGTCCAGAGGACAGGTGGTAGGGCGGGCAGAGGTAATGAGGGTAAGAACCTCACTTGGAGAGAGAGGGGAGAAGGAGGTAAGTGTGTTGGATCAAACACACATTCAGACTAAAGGAACCAGCTGTTTGGAAAATGAGAGAAGTAGAAAGTACAGGTATTTGGGTTCAACATGTAAGAAGTAGAAAGTACAGGTATTTGTGTTCAAAATGTAAGAAGTAGAAAGTACAGGTATTTGAGTTCAACATGTAAGAAGTAGAAAGTACAGGTATTTGGGTTCAACATGTAAGAAGTAGAAAGTACAGGTATTTGAGTTCAACATGTAAGAAGTAGAAAGTACAGGTATTTGTGTTCAACATGTAAGAAGTAGAAAGTACAGGTATTTGTATTCAACATGTAAGAAGTAGAAAGTACAGGTATTTGTATTCAACATGTAAGAAGCTGAAAGTACAGGTATTTGTGTTCAACATGTAAGAAGTAGAAAGTACAGGTATTTGTATTCAACATGTAAGAAGTAGAAAGTACAGGTATTAGTGTTCAACATGTAAGAAGTAGAAAGTACAGGTATTTGAGTTCAACATGTGAGAAGTAGAAAGTACAGGTATTTGATTTCAACATGTAAGAAGTAGAAAGTACAGGTATTTGAGTTCAACATGTGAGAAGTAGAAAGTACAGGTATTTGGGTTCAACATGTAAGAAGTAGAAAGTACAGGTATTTGAGTTCAACATGTAAGAAGTAGAAAGTACAGGTATTTGAGTTCAACATGTAAGAAGTAGAAAGTACAGGTATTTGAGTTCAACATGTGAGAAGTAGAAAGTACAGGTATTTGTATTCAACATGTAAGAAGTAGAAAGTACAGGTATTTGTGTTCAACATGTGAGAAGTAGAAAGTACAGGTATTTGTGTTCAACATGTAAGAAGTAGAAAGTACAGGTATTTGTATTCAACATGTCAGAAGTAGAAAGTACAGGTATTTGAGTTCAACATGTGAGAAGTAGAAAGTACAGGTATTTGTATTCAACATGTCAGAAGTAGAAGTACAGGTATTTGTATTCAACATGTAAGAAGTAGAAAGTACAGGTATTTGAGTTCAACATGTAAGAAGTAGAAAGTACAGGTATTTGAGTTCAACATGTAAGAAGTAGAAAGTACAGGTATTTGAGTTCAACATGTGAGAAGTAGAAAGTACAGGTATTTGTGTTCAACATGTAAGAAGTAGAAAGTACAGGTATTTGGGTTCAACATGTAAGAAGTAGAAAGTACAGGTATTTGAGTTCAACATGTAAGAAGTAGAAAGTACAGGTATTTGTGTTCAACATGTGAGAAGTAGAAAGTACAGGTATTTGAGTTCAACATGTAAGAAGTAGAAAGTACAGGTATTTGAGTTCAACATGTAAGAAGTAGAAAGTACAGGTATTTGTGTTCAACATGTAAGAAGTAGAAAGTACAGGTATTTGTGTTCAACATGTAAGAAGTAGAAAGTACAGGTATTTGGGTTCAACATGTGAGAAGTAGAAAGTACAGGTATTTGAGTTCAACATGTAAGAAGTAGAAAGTACAGGTATTTGGGTTCAACATGTTAGAAGTAGAAAGTACAGGTATTTGGGTTCAACATGTAAGAAGTAGAAAGTACAAGTATTTGAGTTCAACATGTAAGAAGTCAAAGTAAAAAGTCGTCAGAAAAATAAGTATTGAAGTAAAGTACTGATACCATAAACATGTACTTAAGTACAGTAACAAAGTATTTGTACTCTGGTTTTCATTAAGGACCCACATTGTCCCGCTTATTTCACGGCTTCTTACTAAATAAACCAACAACTTGACCCACAATATTGATTTGAAAATGACCGTATTGTTATTTCTCTGTTTGACTTCACGACAGCCTCTCTTCTCCGTCTCTTTCTCAGATCATCTCCGTTGGAAACAGGGCAGGACTTATTGATGATGCCTTCAACCTGGCGAGGTGAGTCATCCTTTAACCAGAACACATATTGTTTCAGTCTGGTTTACAATCCCCTCCTCACAGACTGACACTCGGGGGAACAGACAGGAGAAAGTGGTGGACAAATGATATCTGTTTCCTGTCCTTTCTGTCAGGAAAGCTCATCCATCACTCAGCCTGTAAGACATTGGGACACAGAGGGGTAATACAGCCCTCTGTGTCTGTCTGTTTGTGTTAGTCTTGCAATAAGGATCGTCTTTTGTTGAGCAGAACGGGCTGAATATGTCTGAGTATTTGAGATGAACTGATATATTTCAGTGTTCTCATCATCTGTTACACCAGCATTACTGATGATGTGATCCAAAGGGACTTACAATAACTTCAACCATGAGGGTACAAACGCTAAAACAACCGGAATACAGCAGGTACATTACCTTAAGCCTAACCATTGTAAGTGCTGCTTCAAGTGTTACGTAAGGCAGTGAGAATAGTTTTCATGATTGGACCAAACGCAGTCGAAACAGACGATGTGTGGACTTTCTGCAGTCCTGATATCGATGGGGAGCTCGTTCCACTATTCTGGAGACAGCAGAACAAGCAGGTTTGTTGACTGGTATCTGAGGGAGTAGTGAGCAAACTGGCCGATGCACAGCAAAGTGCACATGTTGGAGTGTATGATTTAACATTTAGGACACTGGTACTAACCCTTCCTACATTACTAACCCTAAACAAAATCACACCTGGCGCCAAAATGCTGGAACAAACCCAATGTTTGACCTCAGGACAGCAGAAAGTCTATACAACCTTTGTTGCAAACCGGAACATCCCACCTCCAATCCCACCGGCCCAACCATTGTACGTAAATAGCCACTATAACTATACATTTCTATAAAGCAATTGTTCATATTTGGTTTATTCAAATAATTATATTGTGGTCATTGTAAAAGTATTATTATTTGTATAATGCGCTCTCTGCCTTCCTGTCATTATCGGGAGTTAGAAATGACCCTTCATTCTCCTAAACTGCTGGGACATTTCCCTGAAGCCAATATACCTTTTATATGTTCTACTCTTCACGTACTTGTCACTTAGGTCGGCATTGATGTACAGAGCCGACAGAAGACCTTGTTGATATTATATCGGCATCATATTGAAGCCAACTCCATCGATCAAGCCAGTGTGGCCCTCTTCTTCTCATGCTCCCTGTCACTCTCCTTCAACTCCTCCGGTGACTTACTTTTATTTGAAGATTGTTTTTTGCCCGGCGCTTGGTCGTTAACCGCTGGTTTTAAAAACATGTTGGTGAATGGTTAGGTGGCGCGAAAGTCTGTAAACAGCTGTTTGCTTTTCATCTAACAACGACAACCGCCTCACGAAACGCTATGTTTAACGTTAATAAACGAAACAATTTAACAAAAGGACTAGTCAAAATACCAATACCACAGGACCATGTGCGGGCAAGTGGAAAGTACGTTATGCCCGGGGGTCTGAACGGTGCTTCCATTTGTAACGTCGAGCCCTGCCTTTGTTTCTCTTGTCTCTTTGAAGTCAATATATCTGTATTTTCCTTGTCGTTCTGAGGTTGTATCTTCATGGTTTATTGCACTTACTGTTAGTCATTTTGAATACAAGTCTCTGGTTAATGAAATACAACCAGTACGAGTATCTTGAAGTGGATTCTAGCAGCAGACTCGAAGAGTTGTTGCATGAAGTTTCACCGAGTCAGCTGCACATACAGAGCTTTATATCCTGTATGTGAGTTAAGCTAAGACATATGGATTCACATGCACACTGTTTACATTCACACACACACACACACACACACACACACACACACACACACACACACACACACACACACACACACACACACACACACACTGTGGCTTTGGGATGGAGCTCTGGCTGGGGGTGAGTCCTCCTCCACAGATAAGTGCAGCTTGAGGATTAACACGGTAGCCTTGCATCCTTTTCCTCGCTTCCTCCCAATAGATGTGCATGTTGAGCAAATCTCTCCTTGCACAGCCGAGGCGGTACATCAGGACTATTTATTCAGAAACAACCTTGGGTGTAGGGTTAGAGAAGCAGAAGAATAACACCAGAGGGGACAAGAGCTGTGAGGAAACTACAGAAAATGTCAAATTAACTCATTTCGTTTTGGGGTTTTTAAATGTCTTTTTCTAGGTTGTTTGACCAAAGCCTTCCTCCAATGGTTCCTGCAGTGGTTTCTAGGACTAAGAATATCTTTAGGACTTTCAGATGTTACTTGTGTCGCCTTCTTTCAATGGGATGAATTAAGGTTAACAGATAAAAGGCCCACATGTAAAGGGATTATCCTCTGAGGAGCAGGAAAATACACAAAACCTTCTTAAAAATACCCAAAAGTAAAGAAATCTTATTTGGAAAGACAGAGCGATGTCCACTGCACGCTGATCCACTCGGGTAGATCTTCTGACATTCGGAGAAAAATAAGATTTTGTTTTTGAGATGTTCAGAGTAAATATTATTTAATTGTTGTTCCCAGATCAGGGCTTTTGTTTTCAGGAACTAAGTGGACGTGTTAACTTTTAGTTTCTTTGCAAGATTACTGGGTCGAACAACTCAACCCGTCTTCAGAACGTACAAAATGAGCGGTATTAGAACGAGTATTAATATCAGGACGATTGGTGGTCTTTTCTTGTAACATTTATTGACGTTCAGACGTTATATTTGCAGCTAGTTGGTCGAGAAAAGACTGTCTGTGAACAAGCAAAGGAAATAGACAGAGAGAGTTAGAGAGTCAGAGAGTCAGAGAGTCAGAGAGTCAGAGAGTCAGAGAGTCAGAGAGTTAGAGAGTCAGAGAGTCAGAGAGTCAGAGAGTTAGAGAGTTAGAGAGTCATAGAGTCAGAGAGTCAGAGAGTCAGAGAGTCAGAGAGTTAGAGAGTCAGAGAGTCAGAGAGTCAGAGAGTTAGAGAGTCAGAGAGTCAGAGAGTCAGAGAGTTAGAGAGTCAGAGAGTTAGAGAGTCAGAGAGTCAGAGAGTCAGAGAGTTAGAGAGTCAGAGAGTTAGAGAGTCAGAGAGTCATAGAGTCAGAGAGTCAGAGAGTCAGAGAGTCAGAGAGTCAGAGAGTCAGAGAGTTAGAGAGTCAGAGAGTTAGAGAGTCAGAGAGTCAGAGAGTCAGAGAGTTAGAGAGTCAGAGAGTCAGAGAGTCAGAGAGTCAGAGAGTTAGAGAGTCAGAGAGTCAGAGAGTTAGAGATTCAGAGAGTCAGAGAGTCAGAGAGTTAGAGAGTCAGAGAGTCAGAGAGTTAGAGAGTCAGAGAGTCAGAGAGTCAGAGAGTCAGAGAGTCAGAGAGTCAGAGAGTTAGAGAGTCAGAGAAAGTTAGAGAGTCAGGGAGTCAGAGAGTCAGAGAGTCAGAGAGTTAGAGAGTCAGAGAGTCAGAGAGTCAGAGAGTCAGAGAGAGTTAGAGAGTTAGAGAGTCAGAGAGTCAGAGAGTTAGAGAGTCAGAGAGTCAGAGAGTCAGAGTTAGAGAGTCAGAGAAAGTTAGAGAGTCAGAGAGTTAGAGAGTCAGAGAGTCAGAGAGTTAGAGAGTCAGAGAGTCAGAGAGTCAGAGAGTTAGAGAGTCAGAGAGTCAGAGAGTCAGAGAGTCAGAGAGTTAGAGAGTCAGAGAGTTAGAGAGTCAGAGAGTCAGAGAGTCAGAGTTAGAGAGTCAGAGAAAGTTAGAGAGTCAGAGAGTCAGAGAGTCAGAGAGTCAGATAGTCAGAGAGTCAGAGAGTCAGAGAGTCAGAGAGTCAGAGAGTCAGAGAGTCAGAGAGTTAGAGAGTCAGAGAGTCAGAGAGTCAGAGAGTCAGAGAGTTAGAGAGTCAGAGAGTCAGAGAGTCAGAGAGTCAGAGAGTCAGAGAGTCAGAGAGTCAGAGAGTCAGAGAGTCAGAGAGTTAGAGAGTCAGAGAGTCAGAGAGTCAGATATTCAGAGAGTCAGAGAGTCAGAGAGTCAGAGAGTAATGGAGCAAAAGCGAGATAACAAAACTGTATTTGCTGATTGTTTATTGCCAGTAATTCTCTAAATAACCGTGAAACTCTTCTGATGCTTTTTGAATTCTCTCTCAGCCGTTCAAACGTCTAATTTATGCAAAAGTACTGAATAAAGTTCTTTCAGACGCCTCTGTTTTCTAATCCATCTGCTTTGCCTAATCTTAAAAGTTCTGCAAGATGTTGTCAGTGAAGATTTAGGACGGGTTTGGTTTCAAAGTCTAACTCTTGCTTTGTTGAGTCCTTCTCAAACAGAGGATGGAAGTGAGACACAATGGACTGTAATGGGAACGTTTGCTAATTAGATGAAGGGAACTTTCCTTCATGCAAAACAAAGTCTTGGAAGAAGGTAATCATCGGTTTTCGTGCAACACATTGCATTAGAACAGCTTTTTGATTTACGATGAAAATATCTCACAGATATATTTGAGTTACAGCGTTGATGTATGAAATACTTTATTTAATATTTATATAATTGTGTTTTGAAAGCAAACACTTTACTCAGCCTCCAGCTGTGAAGGGCAAGGCTTTAAATTAACGAGAGAATCGTGTTAGATGGCGGAAGACCACATTATTAGTCACATTATTTATAGTAGATCACATTTGGCACCTTGTCTTTTGCCTGATAACAATAGTGATATTTGGATTTTAGATTAATTCGTTTTTTGTGGAAAGTCAACCCTAGTTTGTTGTTTAATGAATCATAACTTCCAAGAGGAATTAAACTGCATCTAGCATTCCAGGGTTTTGGAAATGTGTGTCGGACGCTGCCACCTGACCTCATGTGGCTCCAGGAAGTCACTTCACTTTATGTGCTTCCAAGAAATCAAGATGGAAAGGTTGTAGTGCCATCTGCACAAAGCGACAGTACCGTGTAGATCAGAAGACATTCTCCTGACCTGCGCTCCTCCAGCAAGGCAACATATAAAATACAATACAAAGTAGTGCAGAAAGTCTATATACATGTAGATAGAATATGTAGAGTGTGTGTTTCAGCGAAGGATGTTGTAAAGATATATTTGAGCGACTCTCACTGGTAGAAACGTCAGGATCACATCTGGCTCTGCGAG